CATTTCCTATTAGTGAACACTTAGGGTGTTTTCACTTTTATTTTGCTATTACAAATAATGATACAATCTACAATTTCAAATTCATAGTTGTTCCTTACTATATTTATTTCCTTAGAACTTACAGAAACCCTTTTTAAAAATCATAAAGTTAAACACTTTTCAGATTTATAATTTTACAAATTATTATACTTTATCGAAATTCTCTTAACTTATGAAGTCTAATCATGAACATATGACTAAGAAGAAAACCTAAACTATTAGTGAGTTATTATTAACTAATAATTCCTACATGTGTGTACATCTGTGAAGTGAGCTATTTTGTCATCTTTGGCATTCCAATCAGACATCCGTTTAATATAATGCATCACAATGATCAGAATATTAAGTATGATTCACCTTGAAATTTTTGTCCTGTTTTTCTGGTTAGGGATTGTGTGCTTACACAATCAATCAATAGGGTGATTGAATCTATAAAATTAAAGGACAATTCAGGTGGAGACCAAGAAAGAGGGAGGAAAAAAGAGTCTAATTGTCTATTTCGTATCAAGTTTTCCAAAATACTTTTTGGATAATGGGACTGTTTCATTCCCTCATCATTTCCGTGGCAACATGTAGTTGTAACATTACCCAGCATACCTGTGCTTTGCCTTACCTTAATTCATTAGGTTGGTTGGCAGTCAGTTGTTGGTCCTACCATATTCATCACTATTTGGCAAGGTGACAGCTACTGTACATCCTTCTTGATTTGGCAACTCAATGAGCACATTCTTTCCTCCTATCCACAGTTGTGATCCTGAGATGATCACTTACTCCAAGTCCTATCAGTGGGGGCCAACAAGCATCCATTCTGTTCGGGGATTTCTGTTTGTGCTGTTGGGGAATTAACTCTTCCACTTGCCTGCTTTTCGATGTTATGATCCCAAAGTTTCCAAGGACCGCATAGATTGCTTAGAACTGACACTAAGAAAGTAGAAACCGGGATGGGAGAAAGAGAGAGATGCCAAGTGTTGAAGATATCACCTGAGTTCTGAGTCCAGTTGTTTCTGAAGATTACATATTTCTACTCTCTCAATATAAGCCCATTCCTGATCTTTAAATATATGAGCCAAAAAACACTTCCCTTGTCTTTTAAGCTGAGTCAGAGTTTCTGTCCCTCACAATAGAAAGTCCTAACTTCATGGATCTCTACTTTCCCTTATAACACTTGTCAGAGTGTGATTTTATCACTATTTATTTAATGCAAACCTCTCTCCCTAGGCTGCAGTCTCCATAGGAGAAGCAGTAGTATCTCATTTGTTCACAGCTGCATTCCCAACGCCTACAACAGTTCTGACTTATAATATTGAATGACTGAATAAACAATCCAAGCCAAGTATTTTCTTAGCCATGTACCCAAAGAGTTTTTATGTACTTGAGAGATGCCAGTTGTTTCAAGATGATAATACTTATATACATTCTAATGCACTTATTTGTATATAGTAGTCATCATGAAGAATTAAAGATTGCCCATGATCTCTAGTTTGAATGATATCAAGGCTTCTTTCTTTGCTGTGTGAACTTGGGCAAACCATTTCTTTAAGCCTCAGTTTGCTTACCAGTGAAAGGTGCTCACCTCAAGGCAGACACCTGTAGATAGCAGCCTCTTGGTAAGTAGAATTACTGTTAGTATAAAGGAACTAATCAGATAACCAGGGGGGAAGAGGAAACATACATAGTTAGTTCAAAACCAAAGTGCTTGAGTGGACAAAAGCAAAGGCCAGGGCTGCATAACACTGACATTTTTATTAGAATTCATTTGTAACAAATGGAACTTGTGTCAGCAAAGAACTGATTTTCATACAGACTTCTTTCGCCACCAATGTAACGAAGTAAGAAAATAAAAAGCACGCCTTTCATTCTGTAAAACATTTACGCGTACTACTAATTAGAGGTAATTGTATTTTTTTAACAAGCCATTTTACAAGTTGTTTTTTTTTTTTTAATTTTTCAGTCTATGCATCCAAAACGAGAGCAAAGAACACAACTGTTATTATCTTTGTAAAGACACTCCAAGCTTGGATGGCAAAGCCACATAACAGATGGATAGGATGGATCTGTAGCCTTCTGATCTCTGCTGGAGTATCAGGGCACCCATAAACCCAAAGGAAACTAAAATCCAAAATAGGAAAAAGAAAAGGTAATTAAAAATAAAAAGAAAGGCCTAAAGCAAAGCGAAACCAAAACCCAAACCAAAACCAGAACCAAAACAAAACCAGGAAAGAAAAAAATCTGTACATTACTGCAGAATTTTTCCTTTCCTGTTTCTATGTTGGGTTATTTACATACACACAAACGAATTTCTGAAGCAGTTTCTTACAGATGGGTTCAAGTAATAACATTATTGGGTGTAGAATCAATAGGGCAGTGCATAGTATAAAGGTATAGAAAGTGCAAAGTTCCCTAGAGGCCCTTCCCTCCCCTGGCTGTCCTCGCCATTGTCTAACCATGCAAATCATTTTTAAAAAAGAGCTAAAATAAAGTTCTGTACAAATCACTTTTTATATATTTTGATTTTTTTTACCTTTGTAACTAATTACAAAATTATACATAACTACACGTACATAGGTAAATAATAGCACCGTACTGGTTATGATGATGAAAATAATTGGAAACTTGAAAGTTTATGGTAATGGTAGATAAAGATGTTTACCTGGGAAAAGAAGATAGAATGGTTGTACAGAAAAGCAGAGTGGAATGCACATCAATGACAGTAAGGGCGTTAGCTCTCAGAACAGCTCCTGAACAGTAAGATATCTGGAATAGTGTCCTCCTCGCTTGTCTATGGTATGCATCCCGTTCATTTTCTTCTTGTGATTATTCTCCCCTTTCCCTTTGCCAAATGGGCAGTTTTGGTTTCAGGGAAACTGCTCATTGGCCAATCGTTCTGGTGTGCAAAACACCGTAGGATTCTACCTGTCCAACATGGCACGTCTGCATGACGCAATGTCTGTCCGACCCCCTTTGTTTCACTAAACGAAAATCATAGCACTGAGTAATCTGGCACTTGGATAAATCTCCAAAAGATACAAACTAAAAGAAAACAACAACAGACCCACATAGTGCACATTCTTCTCTTGTTCTGATGTAGGTTAGAGAGTCTCATTCTGAGGTAGCCTTCTAGATACTTATTATTTTTTTAGTATTATAGTTTTTCTTTTTTTTTTTTTTCTTTTGCTTTCTTTTTTTTTTACAAAAGTGCTCACATATGATGCTTGGAAGTGTTTGGTCTCTTGGATTTCATTCTGCTAGTGATGGGAAAATGTAGAAAACAAAAATCCTTCCATGCAGAACATCAATGAAGCTAACATTAAACCAAAATATTTTACCAAAACTCTTTAAAAAGAGTTCCTTGGATATTCTGAGTGTTCTTTAAAATCATGTAAGATATGGCAAACTCATGCCATTGTCCATGGCTTCCTATAGAAATTATGTTGAAAAATTTGGGGGGGATATATATATATATATATATATATATACATATACATATATATATATATATATTTTAATTTCTCCTTTTAGAAAAATCCTAATGAAATAGTAAATATGTTCAAAGTTGACAATCATGTTTGTTAATAAATTAAGTTTGGTGCAGTTACTGAATGTTCCAGAGCAGATTTGGAAGGAATTACAAATAAAACAAGTAGCTTTTCCTGATGTTGACAGTTATGAAAGGAAGAAGGGCCCTGATTATCCAAGTGCTTTGGGCTGGTACCATCACTAACATCCCCGACTTGGTTGAAGACTAGGAATGCATATTATTCAAAGAGTTTTTGTACATGTGGTAAACAGATAATGCTTTAATTGGAAGAGAAACACATACGAACAAATAATGAAAATATGAACCAAAAGCTGAAAAGAAATGCTATTAAAATAGGCATCAATTATAAGGCACTCTAAATGCAAAACTAAAACCAAAAGAAAACAAAGTACAGCACTTCCCAGGAATGCTGTATGCCACAAAAAATGTTTCTGACTGAACAGAGTAACATGAGTTTGGCTTTGCCCCTGTTACATATCTTAAATGCAAATTTCATAACACATACTATAGACAATATACAATTGAATACACTGTTTTTTAAACATCTTGATAGCTGATATATTACAACATTCTCTCCTCCTAAAGGGATATGCACTGACCTTTCCCACATGCACACCTCTTAGATATTTAATCATGTTTTATTGCACTAGAGTGTTAGAAATATTGAACTTTGTTGGAAGCCTGGCTAACAAAATAGTATTTGTGAATATGATTGGGGGGTGGGGGGAGATTGGGTAGGAAATTAAGGGGGTGAGGTTTGACAATCACTGATGTGCATTCCTCATTTCCCTTAAGAATTAAAATTTTGTGATATTGAGAAATATCAGTATGTCATAAAATTAATAACAAATTGAAAAAGATGTTACAATCGCTTCTCTACCTTAAAAAATTTAAAAACTAAATCATGGAAGAACTGAACGATAGCTATATCTATCTTTTTGTGTGGACACACTATCTATATATACATAGACACCCCTATAAAATATGGGTATATATGTATATATGTTAGCAGCAACTTTATACTTTGCGCCTCCCTGTTGATTCCAAAGAACAAAACAAAGTTCTCTTTGATTATGTGAAGAAAATGGGTACTTTCTCAGCAACGAAAACCAGACAGAAGTGTAAAAATAATACCAGACGAGACCGATACTGTAGATTAAGAGTATTGCACAAAAATGTGCAAATTTTCCAATTATTTGATATTTCTACAGCAAGGTATCACAGATAACAGTTCTACAGCTTAAAAAAACCTACAATTTGGAAATAAAAAATGAAGAGTTATGTAACTTTTTTAAAATTCACTTTATCGAATGATACATTTTGTTAAAAAAAAAGTTTACAGTTAAAAATGAAGCACAGGTCAGCAGTATCTTTACAATACTAAAAAACTAAATCAAAGACTTTCTTTTTAAACATTCCCCACCCCCTTTCCCCCTAAAACGTTATCATGAGTAGTATGGTGGGAAGGGGCGATGTCAAAGCAGAGTCCATTTTGTCATGAGAAGCCAGCAAAGATCTTGCCCTGAACTGCTGCACTCAGGCCATTTCTCTTTGCACCCATCAAGCAATCCTGAACAAGATGGCGGTTCTTTGCTGTGATTTCTTCTTCCCTTTATTTTGAATCCTTGAGGTATCTGTAAATAAAATCCTTCAGATGCCTCATCAGTCAGGACTCTCTTTATTATTTCTCAGGTTAGATTATTAAACTGTGAATTCTTGGTCCACCCGGAAGAGTTTGTTTTTTTAAATTTGTTTTGTGTGTGATAGTCCCACTAAGTGGTTGTTAGCTAGAAGTTAAGAAGGACTTCTCAAATGCCCTGTATGGCTCAGAAGAGACTCCATGGATACTGAAGGGCTTGCAGTAAAAATCCAAAGTGGGTCAGGGGTTTCTACGTTGCATAGTGATCAAAGCTGCCCAGGTACTCTAGTGCGGCTCGATAGCAGAACTGATACTGATCCTGCCGGAGACAAAGCATGGGGAGAAAGAAAAGGGGCCGTGAGTACATTTTAACAGAAAAGTGGAAATCGATGTTGGAAGACAAAGTTACATCTAGACGGGGGCAAAATCACTGCTTTCGCCAATCAATTCAATCCAATGACCAATTGTTTTGTTTTGTTTTGTTTTGAGCAAAGAACCATTAGCCACATGGGGTACTTATTAACTTCACCACTCAATTCGACTAAAATAGTCTCCTAATTCCAAAGTAGTAATAGCTCCTGTGCACATTATCTTCCAGACATATGTGAACTGTTCTCCAAGGATAGCACCAGACAATTACCACCAGCTAAACATGGGAGCTCCTTATATGTCACAGCCGTCTTTTAAAATTATCTAATTATTTGAGGTAAGTAATTTTCAGTTTGCATATTTAAGAGAGGCCTATGCAGACACATATTGTCCTGAGGAAAATGTGGTTTCATTTATCTTTTGGGCTGTTGCCAAAAACATTTAAATTAAAAAAAAAAAAAAATCTTATCAGACAGTAGACCTTGTTGCCTGCAATCAGAATTATTCTCCATTGTTTATGCGGCCAAAAGGTATCGTTGTGATGAACATCAGGCACACAAAGCCGAATACACGGGCGCTGAACTTTTAGGCTTTCCATCTCTTGAAAATGGCATCACAAGACTGGCTGCCCATGTCAAAAAATACCTGTGCCATTTGGCCTAATTCAGTGTGATGGCTAGTTAGTTGCCTGTTCTAGAAAGACCCACACTAAACTAAAACAGCATGAAACATGTCCTTTTTCAGACAGGGAAGAACACTGTCAAATGGGAATAAGTGGGAGCATTATAAGATAGAAAAATTATAATTTACAGATGAGAAGGGGTGAGAAAAAGTAGGATTTTCCCCGTAAAAGAAACTTATTTTCAGTAGCCAATGGGGCTGAAAGTAGATAGTCTCTATTTTGCTTAAATGTGCATTTTTCTACAATAAAAATGGTAATGCAAAATAAATGGAGTTTGCTTTCCTATCTTGTCGGAGTAAGTTGCTTGGCTAAGTGTTAAGGCTTTTTAAACGTCCAATTTCCCTCGTCACCCCCAACACCCATTAAGTTTGTCAGGCTGACATAATGTTTTGAGTATTGCAAGCCAAATGCTTGCACTATTTTGAAATCAAAGTCTGGAAGATACTGTGGGTTATGAATTTAGGAATACATATAAATTGTATAATTTGGTGGCCTTCTGAGAAACAGAAACACTATCTATCACTTATATTATCCTTAAAATGAAGTCAGTAGGTCAGACTGGCTAAATCATGAATTCCTATTATTCTGAAAAATATCAGAATTTTCATATCAATTCTTGGAGTAGAAAATGGAAGGCTAATTTCTCTAGTGCATATCCAGGATGCAAATATTTAAAAATACCATTATTAAGAAATGAAATATAGAGCAGTTGATAATACCTAGGCATATAGAAGGAGAATGGAGGCATAAAATGGGCCAAGGGTCTATTATCTACCAGGTATATTATCTACCATTGGGCTTTTTACATATATTAAATTTGTGCAATGTATATCACATTAATGTGTATATATATATATATATATATATATATATATATATATATATATAAAATGAATTATATGAAATTGCCATTTTTATAGGCCCCAAATAGTGACAATTTAACATGGTTCAATCTAATACATCATCTTAGATAACTTCCAAACCAGCTCTAAGACACTGACACTGTCACCCCAAATAGTACAATTTAACATGGTTCAATCTAATACATCATCTTAGATAACTTCCAAACCAGCTCTAAGACACTGACACTGTCACTCCCATTTACAAAGGGAGAAAATGAGGTTCAAAAATATTAAACAACTGGATGCTTTTCCTACAGTATTTTCCTGCATTTTGCCTCTGGTGTTGAGAGTCTCTGCACTCTTGGAGATCTTGGCAAACAAAATGTATTATTTGGTTCTTGAGGTGTGACAAACAAACTCCTGGAGATTTTTCTCACCTCTGTCTGCACCATCGCTGGTCGCTGCGTTCTTAACATTTTGACAGTCTGGAAGATATCTACTACTCCTTCGTATCTCATTCTTTCCAAAACAATGCTTAGTGTTATGAAGACTCCAGTTCTTCCAACGCCCGCACTGTCATAATAACAAAGACAATGTTACTGGATGAGACACTCACGGTCTCGGCCACATTTGCTTGGAGGTGGACGTATGTCTACCAGCTTCCATATTACATTGGGTTCTACTACAGCATTGTTCAGGAAAATGTGGTATTGGGTTCATGAAATGATTACTCTTAAGACAGTGTGCCATGATAACAGGTGAGAATGAATGTGGAGTAATTAGAATTAAGTCTTATAAAATATAATAACCTTTCAACTGGGATTATATGTCATTTTGGAAAGGCCCAGGAAATATAAAATAAATGGATAAAAGGACTGGTAAATAAAATATAGATTTATACTCTTCACGTAGATCCTGAAATTATAGACTTTGCCTGCTTAATATTTTTAAAGTATGAAATAATTCATTTTCTTTGAATTTTAGAATTTTACTTATTTTTTATACAGCTGGTTCTTATTAGTTATCTATTTTATACATACTAGTGTATACATGTCAATCCCAATCGCCCAATTCATCAGGCCACCACCACCCCCTCCCCCGCCACTTTCCCCCCTTGGTGTCCATACGTTTGTTCTCTACATTTGAAATAATTCAGATAAGGTAAGACAAACTGGGTGCCTTCAGATTTTCTTGTAGTCACTTAAGAATCTGTGCAACATGTCCCATCACCTAGACGTAAAAATAAATATGAAGGTATATAGACTATTCAAATTCAGACATCAGTTTTGATATGAGAAAGGAGATTCTATAAATATAACAAGATTTTTGACATGGGATCCTCATTTAGTCTTTGGAAGGGTCTATGAATATCTTATATGTATGGATTGTGTAAATATATATATATTTTTTGTTTCTGAAACTTAAAACTTTAACAGATTATCAAAGGGGTCTCTAAACAGGAAAAAATTCAAAAAAGAAGAAGGAAAAAAAAACAGTGGTTAAGAGCCACCGAGCTATACACTTATCTACTATTTTTAGATGTTCAGTAGCTAAAACACCAGCATTCTTTCCACCACGTTAGCAAGGTTTTGAGTTTCTGTTTTCTTTAATGTTTTAAGATGATTCCAGAATTGTAACAGCAGCAAGAGAAGAAAATTAATTCATAGCTTTTGTGCTCTTAAGAAGTAGGAAAGCATCTGGAGGTTTAGGTAATGAGGAAAAGAGTGAATAATCTGAAAAATCCCTACATTTTTGGATCCTAATTAAACAGCATGTGTAATGCTTGGGTACAGGCTGTGGAAAATGGATGGATACATTTACTTCGGGATGCAGCTGATATATAAATAGTGTGTCCCTTTATAAACTGGGTTTTCTAAAGAGTCCTAACAGAAATGTAAGTGAAGCTTTAAAATCCATAGGCAGGTTTTACGAAGTGACTAAGGATAACCAGGCGCAGTCAAGGCTCTCTGTTAAGCTGGAGTAGATGACCTTGAAGGTCCCTTTCAACCTTGAAAGTCTCTCTTAATCCTGAGAGACTGTGATTTATGATCTTTTTGTTGAATGGTCCGGGTACTCCCGAGTCTATCTTACCTTGCTTTGATTGCTCAAATGTAACAAAAATATAGGGTTTCTGGCTTTCTACTAGGTGCTTTCAAGAAAATAACAGACACTGGCCTTATAACTTCCAAATTTATTGACTTTTTCATGTTTTTAATAAGCTATAAATGAGTGGTATTTTTAAAATATCCCCAGATAAGAGAAGATATCTGGAAGTCTTTAAGATATATGAATAACATGTCATAGTATACAAAGGAATCTTTGTATATACAAATAATTTTGTGCCAAAAGCAATGAAAAGAGACACATGCATACACACACTTATTTATACTTATGGGAATGCCTGAAGTTAAAGAAAAATGTGTTGAACATATATCTTTTCTTTATAGCTTATACTGGAAATTTTGGATTAGGATTTGGGCAAATTGTGTGGAAAATTAAGGGGGATATCCAGGTAATTCAAGTCCCGTATGTACCACCCACTTTGTCTGAATATTGAGTCCATGCATCATTTCCTACATGCTCTTTGGTGGTCTAGAGCAAAGAATTTTGGATAAGCTCAACACACAGCAAATTGTGTATAAGTAAGGTCTGCTTCTCATATAATAGCACGCTGTGTGTCCCAGAAGGGGTCTTGGAGATCAGCTGAGAAAACTGAGGTCCAGAGAAATTTCCCCACTGTCACAGAGCTACATGATGACAGAAGTGGGACTAGAGCTCAGATGCTTTGAAGCCCATGTCTAATATTTCTCCTGTTTTGAGACCTGTCTCCCATATCACTAAGAACTGTAGTTTGGGATTTTGGGGGGGAAGCAAAGTAAATTGTTTAATAAACTCTTTCAAGATTTTGACCATAAAGAGATTACAAACTGAAACTAAAAAATATTAGGTGAATTCCTTTTGCTAGAAGGTTTTTGCATAGTAACTTCCAAAAGCACTAAATTTATGGTAATTGTCCTTTCTGAACTGTTTACTTGCTATTTCTATTAGCTTCAATGACTTGAATTATAAAATGCTGTGGAAACTATTGAAAATAATTAACTTGAAGGTGCTTCATTTTCTGATGTAGCAACAATTTTCAAGCAAATTGCAATTTTAACTGAGGTACCATTCTAATCACTTATTGACTGAAAAGAATTAGTATTGTTATTAAGGCTTAATAACTATTTATAGTTTTCTCAAGAAGGCAAACATAGGAGAACGATACAGAAAGATAATTAGCAGGGTAATGCTATGAAAGCAAAACAAGTGAGGAATGATAAACTGAACAAATTATCGCTCGGTGATGTACAAACAATTCCTGTTACGGTAAAACAGGCAAAGAAAACACAGTTTGGTTCTTTGTTACAAGAGGCAAAATTTGAAGATAAAAATCTTCCTCTGATTATTTTCACTTTGTGGAAAGAAAGAGAAATGAGTCCTTGCTTTAGGGTTTACAATATACTTCTGAGAAAAATAAAAATGAAATTTCAGTTATGCAGATTCACAATAAATTGGTACCAACAATGAAGAGACAACAGTACATATTTTCAAAGTTATTGCATTCAGCACAAAAGGAAACTCATCATTCCTGATTCTCACCTGCAGTGGACTGAAATGGGTCCATCTTGGCCAAACTGCTCTTTTGTTTTATGGACTTGGCCAATGAAGTCAATAAATCCTTCTCCAGACTTTGGCACTCCTTGCTCTGGCCAGTCAGTGAACTGGAACTGCCTCACGGTTCGGGACTGCCCGTCCTTTAGAGAGAAAGCCATGTATCCATCCGCAAAGGAGGATTCAGCCAGTGCACAGACCACAACAGCAGGCATGATTTTTTCCAAAAAAGGAAAGAAAAAGGGAAGAAAAAGTTAGAAACATGTTTAACTAGAAAATTAGTCAGTTAGTATGTTGCCTGCTATTAACACTGTCTACATTCACATATATTTAAATTGCAAATTTATTTACTCTCACAATGCCCATTAAAAACCTGAGTTTTCATAAAAAGCCACCTAGTTCCCATATTAGTAAATGCTCTGAGCCCCAAAGTTTGCCTTCAAAACCAAAGTGGAACATATACACTCCATTTCAAAATTTTCAGAATCCAATAACTTCTTAATACTGAATGGAACATCCAGGCATGTCATCCAGACCAGAGATTTTTCTATTGTCATGATACCTTCACATCTGCTGCGTTTGCTTATTTGCAACATTGTCAAATGACAAATAGTGACACTGAAAGGATCTGATGCAAATTGGGTAGCTGGATTTAACCTGGATGCCCGACACGTCTCAGAGGTATACTATTTCTAGCCAAGGCAGTATACACAGTGTGTACCAGGCGACTGTGCTGTTGAGCAGGAAGTGAAGGGTCCCTCAAGGAGATAGGAGAGATTATTAGTAAATAAATGTTGTTTTCTGAAAAAAGACTCCTCCTGGCTGACCACAGGAACTGAGGCGTCTCTGCGGGGCTTTAACACAGACAAACCAAAAGCTAGATACAGGAGCAGTCTATCTTTCCTAAAGTGATTAGGCAAAATTACTCTGATTCATGAAGTATAAATGGTTTCAAAAGAAGACACTAAGGGACTTCTGATTCCTTCTGGAATTGTACAGTGGTTCTGGAAGCACAACAAAAGCAGAAGGGACCCTCTGTTTACAGAAGCAGGAATAACGATTATGACCATCAACTTTCTTCCCTGAATCAACAGAGAGAGAGAGAATCCAAATTTTAAGTTTACAGGGGCTGATTCTATTTGAGGAGTCCCTGCTCCTAGTTAAGGCTTCAATTTGGTCCTCCTTTCCACTTTTGTAACAACTCTCTCCACATTAAAGTCCTTTTGGATACAGATGCGCAAGTTCCCAAGACTCTGGTTAAGTAGACAGAGACCCAATCCTTCTCACTCAGTTATATGGAGAAGAGGGGATGGCCCAACTTGAGATGGACACATATCAACCAGCCTGGTGGTTTCCATATGAACAGGGCATATTCCTGACTGGAATCATCTGGGAATCGAAATAAATTGGGAGATCACATCAAGTTTGTGAGAATACTGAAGAATATGAAAGTAACTGCTTGGCCCCGTAACAAACTTATGGATGGTTACCATGGAAGCATGATTTACTTCCTTTTGATTCTAGAAAAGGTTTGAAAAGCACAGGAAGGGAAGCCAGAGGCTAGGTACTACTGATTTGTCTTCCTCTGATTGTCCTGGGGATTTCATTTCTGACCATAGTTGTTTTTAACAGCACGTGTACAGACCTTTATGATTTGGAGGAGAGACCACCTGACTCCATTTAAAGGTTACCTGTTTAACAATACTGTATTCTCAAGTGCCAACTTGCTTTCTAAACTGGGAAGTCGAGATTAGAAACATACTAGGAGCACAAACAGCAAATGCTATGGCAGCTAAGAAAATTATACAATCACAGAGAGGCTTCAAAACAAAACATGTGAACAAGTTCCTGCTTCAGTGTTTCTTGTCTCTGCCATTTGCAGAGCCTGGCGCCTACACTTTGTTGTCAGAAATGGTTGGTGAGTTTGCTTGGAATGCACTCAGAGTTTTCACTCACATATCTAGCTTCAGATTCTGAAAGGGCATGCTTTTTCCTTTTTTTTTTTTTTTTAAAAACAATGGGTCACCAAGGCATGCTTGCTTGGGCAACTCAAAACGAGACCTAGGGACTCAGCTGCTGTCTTGAGTATAGTCACCTTCAGAGTAGTTAAGACTTCAGACTTTCTGGGATTAACAGGTCTGTCACCTGGGCCAAGCAGCCTGCCAACCAATTTCTCTTTCACTTGAGGTCAACAGCCAGGGCCAGGCTTTGGGGATTAGTAGACAGTCTCTAAACATGAGTCTTGGTTGAGAAAGCTGCTTTCCAACAAAAACAATGGATCAAGTAAATAGCTCTACCCTACAGTTTTATTCAACCCACCCACTGTGACAGTTCCAAAAACAAAGCAGGGCTTTGGACTGACCCCACTCTCTCCTAAGATGTGTTTGTAATCGTGGTTTGAAAGTGGCCAAAGGCAAGGATATTAAAGTTTATGCATAGAACATCTTACATCAGGGCTGAACCTTGCACTCAGCAATCTAGATAAGAAATGCAGAATGAAAATTAGCCAACAAGGGTCGTGGGTGCACAGCTCTCATGGACAGACACATTAGCACACCGAGGAATAAACCATGCCAGGAATCAAATTAGAATGTGTGAAGCTTGTCAGATTCTTCTAAAGAATGCCATTTGCTCAGCAATTTTAAAATCATACCAAATTAACCTCCAAGCCAACATGACCTAAAGGGCTTAGCAAAACAACAACATATTTACAGCCTCAAGTAATGAAGAAGTCAAAAAAGCTCCAAAGAGAATAAGCTGAGGAGGTGAATGTAAGCGCAGCCAACCAATCAATAAATGCTTCCCGGCACACACACTCACCAAGCACGTCCCCAAAGTTGGGCTGCCAGATGCTACATTTGAATGTGAGCCAAGCCTGGGCTTGTGAGAAACCTTACAGGACAGGAAAAGTTACTCTTATATTAAAAAAAAAAAATCCTCCAGGATGAGTGATTTCTTTTCACTTTGGGAGTATGGTCACTTGGAAAATATTTCTCCCAGGGATGCATTTTAGACTGCTTTTCAGTTACTCGTTAAGAGCATAAGACTGTGGCAACTTACCCTGGCATCTGTGACCTTGAATTCTCTTAGTATATATTGTGGCATGTTGTACTCAGCCATGGGATCTACAACAAAGTACTGGTATCTTGCAGATCGTTCTGCTGGCCAGTACTGGTGACATTTCTCCTACAAAAAAAAAAAAAAAATTAACGTCAAGCTACGTAAAGTGTAAATAAAGTTTTGTTTACCATGTATCTATATATTTAATGTCTTTCTTTCACTAATACAGTTTTAGAATTTAAGGTGATTCCAATCGCATATGACTCATTTTCTCTTTGAAACCGTAGGTTCCCTGAGGATAGGGAAATCATGTGGTTCAATATTTGTGCATGTTATCAAGCATAGTACTTGACATACAGTAGGTGCTTAATACACATCAGTTGACTGAATTCTTCAATAGGGTAAGCATCTTCATACTTACAAGTTAGACAATTAATTATATCAGTCCTCGGACATAATGCTAGTCACGTTAATCATGCATTGATCAACACTGTGTTTTGGAATGAAGAGAACCATCAAGTGTGAACACAGAAAGAAACCTCTGAATTGACCTAGTCCAATCTCCGTCAGCTGAGGAACCTGGAGCCCACGCAGTTTTAATGACTTCAATAACTAAATCAGAAAAGTCGAGTTACTTTCCTAGTTTGGTAATTTTTCACTCTCTCTGTGGGCTCTAAAAAGTTGGGTTTTGGATGCATCTCTACCATTGAGTTTATACAAAGACGAGAAAGAAAACATCTCAAGCACATATGGCAGAATGCTTGCATCTATTGAATCTAAGTGGTAGGTCCTTAGGTGTCTCTAATGCTATTTTATATATTTTTCAGAAGAATCATTTTTTAAAAGTAAACCTGAGGTTACCAGATTATATCCTTAGAAAAACTGCGTAACTTTCCAACAGTTTAATGGGAGTGGAAGATGAGCAGGTAAAAATTTGCTTCGGAGATGAAAAAAGTCAAGTTCCTTCACACAGAGTAATGATGGCACCCAAGCTCTAGCTTGTCCAGAGCGAAAGGAAGTAAGAACACATTGAGAGTCAAAACAAGTCAGACGTATTTGTCTCTGTGATTGTGTTTCACTGGAACAAAGTACCAGTTCTTTCTTCAAAACACACAAATGAAAGAACTTGATATGGCTCTGCAAGTTAAAATTCAACACAGTAATGAATGGTCCAGAACATGTCCGGAGTACTCTGTGTTTCAAAGAAATGATGCTGGCACTCGGGTTTTTAAAATGAAATCCTCATTTCTCTTGTGGTCTGAGTGTCTTATAAGGAGACACTCACTCTGCCCATCTCACGCAGCTTGGTGAGCATCACAACGATGGTGGAATTGTGCTCCCACAGCATCCGCCAGAAGTCCTCGGTGGTCTCTGCCAAGGGCCCCTGGGTAGCGATGTAAGCTTTCTGTTGTCTGAATCACAGAGAATGAAAATAGCATGTTAAAGTAATCAGAAAACATGCAAAGCCTTCGCATTTGATATGTAAACATCACACCAGGTAATAAAAAATGAAAACATTATTAATGCCGTTGCAGTAAATTCCCATTAGGATTGTGTAATCAAATAAGAACATTTAATACATTTGGGGGATTTTGCAGAAGAAATTGCTTTGTTAATATTATGATGTATGTCTTTATCATTGTTATTTAAACTTCAGAGCAATGCTAATAGCTCAATTTCATGCGTCATACAAATCACTTAAGAAACAGTTGTGCAACTTCATTTTGTAGAAATGACTCTTACACAATCTATTAAACTTATATAATACGGTACAAACAGTTTCTTCATTAACTCCTTCCACATCCAAATGACTTCTGAAAGAAGAGTGCACATGGACAGATTAAAAACTCTGTGACTGCTGCTTCTTACTCCTCTCTAAAATAATAAAAAAGCGAATACCAAGGGACTGAATGCTGACCTCTGCAGAAAGAAAACACTTTGAATTGAGATGAAATTCATGCTGGCTGTGAAACTAGGGCACATGTAAATATCAAGGCTTTGGACTGACTGTCAGGGGAGCAAAAGTGTATACCTGTATCCATCAATAAAACTGGCATTGATGTAATCAGATCCTTCTACTCCTCGGATAGGCTGCAGGCATACCCTTGTGGATTCATATGGCATAATATTAACAAGGCGATTTTTGAATTTATTACATGGAAGATTGGCACTGATGAATCTTGAGGTGTGAGCTTTAGAACTGGCTAGACGCTGTTGCAGGAAAAAAGAAAAAATCAAAGATAATTTTAGCCTGTAGCGTGACTTCAGTGTACCCAAGATTCCCTTTCCCTCATTATAGATACAAAGATTTTGTTTGCTTTTAAGCAAAGGACTCTTCCAACTGTACTGCTTTTCAGTTCTACCTAATGAGTCCATATAGACTATGGAAGTTTTAAATATTATGTTCTGAGAGTATGATCTCTCAGTTTAAATTAGGGTACAAAAGAGCTCTAGGTATTATTAGGAAGCAAAGGATAGAAAAGGGAAGGAGGAAGAAAGTGTTTTACAGTCAGACACCTGAGGGAGAGGGTCAGGTGAATCTTGTAACTTCACAAATTTGAAAGGTTCAGAAGGACAATTCCAGAATGACAGTTCCTGAATTACCACATCACATCTAATATCATACCTTAAATTCGAGCTCCATCCCTGTGACATTCTCTCCTGTTTCTCTTTGTGTCAGCTTCTGAATGTAGGCATACAAGTTTCTAGCCGGCACTTCGGTATCCCCGCAAGTCACTGCCTCCGACAGTGCATCGTGGATAAAGATGTACTGGTCTTCTGTCTGAACCATGTAATTCCTCTGGGCTCTCATTAAAGTTACATGGCCGTAAATGTCTACAGTTTTTTCATGCTTTATTCTTTCTAACATGGCGTCTATCACAATGAAACAGCCAGTCCGGCCAACTCCCGCGCTACAAGGAAAACAGAGAAAATAAGGGTCCAAATGAATCTCTTGGGGAACCAACACATCATAACATTATTCTCATTACTTTTAATTAACGACGTTTTAAATCCATTAATTCTACTCAAATAGCTACTGTGATGATTTTGGGGCATTCTAAACCAAAGGGTAGGGAACAAATTAACAAGTAAAAGGTGATTGGTTTCAAAATGTAAAATTATGAAATCTATAACTACCGTGCTCCTTGATCACGTAACACAAAGCAGACATGAGTTTGAAATTATTATGAAAAAAACACACTTAGGCTTTTTACATTAAAAGATATTTTAAAAGCTGGTCAAGATCGAACTAGGCTTTATCTTTTTACAAACTATTTCAGTCTATTTTAGTTCAATTTATTAAAAAAAGGAAAAAAAGAAAACTAGTAAATCATTCAACTTGAAACACTACACACTCTAAAACTCAGCGAGGAAGTTTTAAAACCAATCTAGTGGGAAGTATATAATTAAAATATTAAAATGTTGCTGCATCCTCAAAATAGTGCAGTGTATTCTCAATGGAAAGAAATTCTTAATTAAAAGCAATCACTAGAGAGTGTGGGTGTGCTTCTTGCTTTTACTCCTTTTTCTTCCAGAGTTGAATGTATTTTGAAATTTTAGGTGAAATTCAAGTATTCTGTGTGGGAAAATAAAAGCCTCAGTCTTTGTTACTGAAGCTCTGAGGCATTTTTTTAAACTCCATTACTTATATGGACTTCTGGGTTGTTCTCCAGTTGGTGGGAACTGATTCAAAGAAGAGGAGGTGAGAGGTCAACGAAGCACAGTGACAAGTTCTGCCGCCAACGAGACAACCTAATTCACTGAACTGGATTACAGAGTCCGGTGGTTGGAGCATTGGAATTTCCTCGAGTGTGGGAAAGAATACTAACAAAATAACACATCTGTGTTCTTAAATCCAAGGTAAGCCTTTTATTGTCTCTAATTTTATCAAACCCTTTTGGCTGAGTCCACTTATGTGTCACGTATGGCTGAATCCAAATGTTTTTCTCGTTCTGATCATGGATGCTTACCTAGCTGGGAAACATGTAATCAACAGGAATAGGTATGTATCAGCACCTTAGACACCAAGCAACAGACAGCCCCCTTCGTTCACTACGTGCCAGTGTTCCCCGTCATTTGTATTTCTATGTGCTCATTTATTTGTCCACCTGTGCACTGATACCAATCCATCTCTTCATTCAATGAGCAGTGAAGTAATCTGCTAAGTAACACAGGGCTTACAACATTAAAGGTGACTTAGATCCTACCTAGAGCTCAGATTATCAACAGAGATAATACTTTACATAAATATTTATGACACAAGAAAAAAAAAGGTGTGTTGGTTTGTGGATGATGTGGCGTTTGAACCAAGTTTTGAAGGGCAGGAAGGGATGGGGAACTGAGGAGACTGAAATAGCAAAAGCAATAGAATGGCTCTGGGAGCTGCATGTAAAATTTTCATAGGCCTAGTGAAGCACCAGTGCAAGGGACATACCAAAACTTCATATAAATGAGTTTAATGAGCACTAGGGTACCTGATTCAACTGCCAAGTGGCTGTAGGTGGTAAGTGTGCATTTTGTAACAAATATTACCTTTATGTAACTACTGAGCAGCACAGATCAAACCCAGCCTCCACATAGGAGCCCTGAGGTTCAGATGCTAGTTTATGCGGAAATAGGATATAACCACTATTTAAAAATTGTTTACTTTTTTTGTCTTGTCAGATGTAAAAACTGTCAGTATCTAGTCAGAGAGCCTCTGGATACTGACTCTAAGACTCCATTCAGGGTTTAAAGCACAAAGCGACATGACATTGAAATGTAACGCAAAAGCCTTCGGGAAAAAGAGTCTGAGAGATGATAGCCCATTTCCTAGCACAGAACAATTAGAAACCTGATGCACTGAGATCCCGAAGTCCCCTTTTCTTTTGTTAGTTTTACCAAAGAAACCTGTAAGATGGCAAGTTTTCCCTTACACTCCCCACCTTCTCCCTTCCCCATACCCCCAGCAGGATTATAATCACCCTCTGTCCCAGATCCCTGTTGTCTTAAATACCACCCTACAGTCCCAGTCATATCGTATTATTAGTTAGTCTGGTAGGGCCACTGTCTGCAAATAATGAGCATATCTTGAAAGCAGGAATCGCATTTTCTGTTTTCTGTGCCCTGCACCAGGCACGCAGTCGGTGTGCAATAATGTTTGTGAAAAAGTGAATGAATTAGTGATTGGCGTGAGAGGCCTTGTATAATGAGCATCCTATCCAGATTTGGTAACAGGATCCCTCAGTCAGTGGAAGAAATCCTACATTTGATAAAGGTTCAGAACTATGTGGAGAATACCTGAAGACTCCACAAAGTGTCTGATAGGGAAGAGCAAGACGGGAAAATGCTTTGAGCGGTTTCCACATCTTGGTCTCCTGATAAGCCATCACACTGCAAATAAAGAAACTAGGTAAGAATTAGCCTGGAAGACAGAGGCGGCCTCCACATTTGGTGTGTTCAAAGACTAAGTAAATCTTTTTCCTTTTTCTGTGTTGTCTTTCTAATTGTGCATTACTTCCATCTAGATACAATTTCATGCATTTCTACCTAGTGGAAGACACACTGTAAGCCACATAACTGAACCCTATGTATCAAGTCCAATCTAGACAATGGCAGGAATATTTTCTCCAAATATGCATCGGGGGCCATTCCAAATGTCTGGATGACACATGGTTCTATATTCTGGCAAAAAGATACTACAGAATCTTGCAAAATTGGCAGGGATAACTCCAGACCCTAACAATATCAACCTCTTCATGGTGATAATAATTCATTTGTTTTTCCAAAAAAAATGAGGAAGGAAAAAAATCAAACATGAGCCTGTGCCTACCTCATGAATTGTGGGAAGAAAAGAAACAAAGAACAGAGGCTATGACTTGTGCAAAACTTATTTTTTCCTCCTCCAAACACAAAATATTGTTAACAGCCCAATCTTGCTGTTCATATGGAAGAGAGGGAAGAAAGTGTCCCCTGGAACTTACATGTTACCTCTTTTCTATGATGAAGAGTTCTTGGGGGTTTTAAATGTTAGAGGTGTCTCTTAGCTTGAAGCAAGACCCTGCGGTTCAAAATACTTTTTCCAGATGCCAGTGGCTGGGTGTCCCTTAGACAGTCACTTAACCTCTCGTTTATCTGTTGTTCTTAAATCATGATAGTGATAACTAACTCGTTAATTATCTAGTAAGTTTTAAGACTGAATTAAATATACAGAGTGTTTTGCAAACATAAAGAAAGATGCAGTTGCTTTGTAGGTACAAACTCCATCTAAAAATTCTACCTCTAAAGCTGACAACAAGAAATAGGAAATGTTAATGCCGGGAAATTTTTGATAGAATCACCACAGGATCATTTGAGATCAGGCTTTCAAAATCTTGCTTTAATCTACCCCCCCTCAAGCTTTTCTTCCTTTCCTCCCCATATTTCCAATAATAATACCTTACGTTTGAGGAAGTTTCTGCTTTCACACATATTCTCAAGGTAAATGAGATGGCAGTGAAACGCCTTCTCACCACAGGGCTCAGCGTCCTGGAGGTATTCAGCAAATGTCTGTCAGTTTCCCTTCCCCTTCAATGATTCACAACATTCGGGAACTTCCCTAAGTCCTATAGCTAATGGTAAATGGCCAAATAGGGACTCAAATGCAGGTTCTGAGATACTAAACTCTAGCACCCCATTTCAGGGCATCACCATTACTTCACATGTCTTTCTGCCATCTGGGTAAGCAACAATTGCCAAATATGGAAACTTTCTTGTGACCCATCCCTCTATAACATGCCTTTAGTAGTGTTTAACTCTCCCTAATGAAAGTTCCTTGAAAAGCCTTTCTTCCTTGGTTTCTATGACTCTGATTGAGGGATTATGATGAACATCAGACACTCCCCTTTGGGTTGATGGTAGGAAGGGAGATTTTGTAATATCTCAAACACAAAATAACCTGAAACATGTTGCATATGAAATTAGCCAAAAAGATCTGTAACTCACGTAATGGTTCCATTGACTCTAGGACAGGGTAGAATTTCTATCACGTTGGAAACCAAAATCAAAGATCAACTCTAAATGTCATCTTCAGAAATCTACTGGCAGCTCTTTAGACTGCCTCAGTATGTAATGTTTCTTTCTTTTTCTTTTTTTTGCGGTACGCGGGCCTCTCACTGTTGTGGCCTCTCCCGTTGCGGAGCGCAGGCTCCGGACGCGCAGGCTCAGCGGCCACGGCTCACGGGCCCAGCCGCTCCGCGGCACGTGGGATCTTCCCGGACCGGGGCACGAACCCGTGTCCCCCGCATCGGCAGGCGGACTCTCAACCACTGCGCCACCAGGGAAGCCCTGTAATGTTCTTTTCTATCTGACCCCTGTGCTGATCATCCTCTGGCTTCTCTGGATTCTTCCATCTGAATCTTTCTCTAATTTACATATTTCTGCCAGCCCCCAAAATGGAGATAATATCCCCAAAGTTCTGTCCTCCTTTCTCTCATTCTCCTTCATGGTTCAGCAATCATCTTCAAACAAACGATTCCTAAAGTAACAGCCCTTTCTTTGAGCATATATTTCAGACTGCTCTCGGGTTTCTCTAGAAATAAACATATACCAAGAATAATCAACATCTTCTCTGCTCAGATTCGGGTCATTCAGGTCTAAAATTTAAGGATCAGCTTGCACTGTTTTTGCCTTTTGCCCTGCACAATGACAAATTATAAATTTCTACGCATTCAGTTTCTACAATTTTATTCATCTATCCATCAGTGGTGTGCCAGAGCTGGCAAAAGTCAATTGTTAAATTTCTCAGAAATAATTATATAAATAATTATATTAAAAATAAAGGTAACGCTCAAAATACATTGCTTCTTAATTATTTTACATTTATGCCCTTCAGGTGAAAATATTATATAATGGTATGCTACTGAGTATCTCTCCCCAGCTTTTGGATTCAGTG